ACGTCGGATGCCAAAACCGAGACATCTCCACATGTGGAGAGTTCCAATTGCTCGCATCGATCACATGTGGAGATGTCGGGTTTTGCATCCGACGTCACAATTTGCTCAAACCTTTACAATTTTTTACCACAGCTCCACATGTGATAACACGACGATCGACAAGTTTCATGATTTTGACTTCGCTTGCATTTTATATAATTTAAAATTACATTTCCTATAAGTACCTCGACATGTTACGCCAACTAGATACTCGAGATTTCATGTGACTTTCTCTGGATACGGCCTAAACATACCCTAAATATCATAAGTATCAATTTTTGATGATCAAAGTCCATTATTCCATGTACCTGCAGTTCAAATTTGAAATAAACCAAACAATTAGACGAAACGAAATAAACTAATGAAATATATCAAAAAAAGTCAAAATTGCCCCAAATTTTAAAATAGAGTTTTAAACACCGTCACAAGGTCACAGAAAAAATTTGGGCCCAAAATAAAAAAAAAACATTTTGCCGATGCCATGGGGGACACTCGGCAAAGTGGGCTTTGCCGAGTGCCGGCCCAGAAGGCACTCGGCAAAGATGATTTTCAAAAATTAAAAAAAAAAATTTGCCGAGTGCCTGACGCAGGCACTCGGCAAAATAAGTTTTAAAAAATTAAAAAAAAAATTTGCCGAGTGCCCAAGGTTTACACTCGGCAAAATAAGTTTTTAAAAATAATAAAAAACTTTTTGCCGAGTGCCATCCGTTAGGCACTCGGCAAAGTCTGACGGCAAATGCCCACCGTCACGGGCCGGCCACCTTTTGCCGAGTGGGACTTTTGCCGAGTGCTGCGGCACTCGGCAAAGCCTAGATTTGCCGAGAGCCAGGCTTTGCCGAGTGCATGGCGCTCGGCAAAGCCACGTTTGCCGAGTGCTTTATTTTGCCGAGTGTGGCACTCGGCAAAATATTTCTTTGCCGAGTGCCCCGATAAAAAGCACTCGGCAAAGTCTCAGGCACTCGGCAAAGTACAGTTTTCCAGTAGTGGCTTGTCTTGTTTGCTGTCCACCAGAATTATACTGCAGTTGAAGAACCTTAATGAGCAGCATTATCTGGGTGCCTAGAATCATGGTTCGAAAGGTGTTTTCAGGATTACCTGTACTGATGAACCAAAAACATTAATCAAATTAAAAACAAGTGTAATCTGTACTCACAATAATGCTATTTTACACAGGCCGTACTGAAGATCATTAAGCACTGTGAGGAGTTTGTGCCTGCTCTAGTTACAGGTCAATTGCTTGGTTTGGATGTTGGTAGTGTTCTGGAAGTGACCAACTGTTTTCCCTTCCCTGTGAGTCCTCACTCCTTAACATTCTTAGCAGCTCAGTACTGAATATGTATTCTTCTGCCATGAAGGTCTTCCAGGGTAGTTGTTCTTTGAAATTTCATAGGCTAATGGCTACCTTACTATTTTTACTGCAGATTAGAAAAGAGGATGATGAAGCAGATGCAGATGGTGCCAATTATCAGCTCTAGATGATGAGGTGTTTGATGGAAGTTAATGTTGACAATAATACTATTGGATGGTAATTGCAGAAAGCAAAATAGTCTATTTCGAGGTTATATCCCTAGTTCAAATTATATATGACTGATTATGTATTGCCGATATGGTACATGTGCAAATTATGTAAGACTGATTATGTATTACTTTAAGCTTGAATCTGGGTATGATATGTGCTACATGTTTTCTCATTGTATTTATTTTTTGGGGGGTATATTTATAGTGTCCCGTTGAATAATCTGTCGCTATAAATACATGGACTATTGGATGATCTATCGGTATATGCTTGGTAACAGAGCATCTGTCGCTAAAAAGTAGTAATGGACTATCTGTTGCTATAAATATTCAGGGCAAAGTAATTTTTTTTTAAAAAACTTTGCCGAGTGCCTGGGCAGGGGCACTCGGCAAAGTACTTTTTTTTTAAATAAAAAAAACTTTGCCGAGTGCCTGGGCTGGGGCACTCGGCAAAGTAATTTTTTTTTAAAAAAAATTGTCAAGTGCTGGGTCGGGCACTCGGCAAAATAACCGTTAATGGCCAGCGCCTCAACGGCCGAAAATATTTTGCCGAGTGCCGCCCCAAGCACTCGGCAAATTTTTTTATTTTGCCGAGTGCCCCGATGAAAAGCACTCGGCAAAGACCCTTTGCCGAGAAAAATTTTGCCGAGCGGACTTTGCCGAGTGCTACACTCGGCAAAGCCTTTGCCGAGTGCAAAGGGCTCTTTGCCGAGTGTAAAAACACTCGGCAAAGCCGCGGCCTCCAGTAGTGGATGGCTAGATAATCTATTTATGATGAACATTATGGAATGAAGTCACTTGAAGACCTTCCAACAAGATGCCAAACACTCTGACCAAGGAGCTTATTTATGTAAGGACTCCATCGAATAACTCAATGTTGAGTATAAAACAAGGGGTTACATAAACACTAGGATTAACGTGATGACAGTGTGATTACCACCTAACTGATTCTCCTAATCATCCAGGGGCTCGGTCTACACCGTCGTGTCTGCTCGCGCGCACACTCCGTTCCATTTATGCGAAGCTTGATGGACCTTAAACGGCCCATAGAAAGGCCTAAGTGCCAAGGAGATAGTCTAGGAGGGCAGATCAATGCCCAAGTCACCCGTGTCCAGAGACCTGGCTTTGCCCCCCTGGTTCCCGATGTTGGAAGGTGCCAACTGACCAAGGGTGACTGCGAGCGCCTCCACATATCATGGCTCAGCTTCCTGCACCTACCGTTGCAAGGAATATTCCCCCAAAATCTATCAAGCGCCCGTAACCTGACATGCGGGTAGAGCCGCAGAGCGCCAGGTCTTGTTGGGGTACTGTTCCCTCACCCTCGCGAGGCCGTGTCGGCAACTCTAGGATATACAACCCTAGAAAACCCTAGAACCATGGTTCTTGTACTCCCACTGCCTTTCGTTATATAAGGCGGGGCATGGACTCCTATAGAGGGGATTGATCCATCATAGTGGTCCCCTACTCTCTCTATCTCTTTGTTGTAAGAACTCGATTGAGCATTCTAATACGAAGAACACTATTGCTAGACGTAGGGCTTAGACATCCGAACCAGGATAAACTCCTTGTGACTTGAGTGCTTAAGCCACAGAAATCTCACGCGTCGGCCCACATCTAGATTACTAATCACTGCCGTAGAATCGAACGCACGACACTCACTTTGGCTATGCTGAAAGTGGCTCAAGAGGCCTAGCCCATGCTAGAAGGTGTGGTTATAATTTTTCTTCCTCTTGTAAGTGGTGGTTGTCCATTTTTGTTTTGGAGACCATGAGAGCCAGCGCTGTTGGAGCAATAATAGGTTGATTAGCTTTCTTTTGTTTTTTTCTATCTTGTCTGTGTTCTAAGTTTTTTATTCGCCTTTTTTTGGCTTTGAATAAAACTATTGTTGTACTCTAAAGATGTTGCCAGAAGCTGAAGTTAAACTACCGCTCGATGATGCAAAGTTATCTAGGACTATACCAATAAGATAGGACACACATAGGTAGGGATGCTACAAGACTTTGGTGCCACAAAATGCAATTGGTTATAGGTTGTGGGTAAAGGACTAATCAAAACTCCATTGTATTAGTTATTATGGTGCTGCACCGTTTCTAGGATAGCCCCCGACACACACCTCCTCTTTCGAATCTTAGGTACATATGGCTAACCTTCATTGCTTTATCTAAGTGTCTAGGTATCTCGCCCTCAACCGTGGATTGTCACCATCAATTTTTGGGAAATCCAACATGTGCAACATTTCTTGGTCTATATTTTCCTAATGTACTTGAGCTTGTTTGTTCATGATCAATCATGTAGGGTCCCCCACTTCCTCTACTGGCAGCTGGATTTAGCTATGCCGTTCGTGCCAACATTGCTGCTGGCACAATTCCCGTTTTCGAGCAAAGTAAATAATCTGATCTTACACTCAATTTAATGTATAATGTTTTCACCCTGACATACTTTTTTTATTTTACCATAGCTTATTGAGCCAATTAGATGGCTCCAACATACACTCTGGTTTCGTGGAGTTAATGAAATTAATCATGAGAGAAAAAAATCTTACATGGTGGAGAGGGATTTCAGTGTGCTACCAATTTCAATATTGCTGAAAGATGGGCTGGGCTTAAAGACGTCTTAGAAATTGTCGTTACAGAAAGGAGGGCACTACAAAAAATCTGGGCTTTTATAACAAACAGAAAGTGTCATGGAAAGTACAGGATTTGTCACAAAAAGAATGGTATGACAAAAAACCACCGTCATGAAGGTCATCACAAAAAGACCGTCGCTAAATGTACCTTGTGACTATAATATGGAAAACCGTCACAAAATGTGATGACTTTTTGTGGCGGTTTTGTTGTGTCGTCATATATTATTGCCATTTAATGACGACTGTAACTGTCACATATTGGTTGGTCAAATCATCACCTAATACGTCAACCGTCACAAATTATATGCTAGGAACCCTGATTTAGACAAGTTATTGTGACGATAGTGCAGATTTTGTGACATTTACATTGTGTCTTGTTATGTATGGTAGTTAACTGTGCTTGAGACATCTCGAGACGACTCTAGGTCATCATAAAATTACCTTCATTTGATGATGAATGTGGCATTGCCATATGTATTAATTCAATGACAAATGTCACACAGATGTTTCTAGCATTCTCATCGGAGCTCATACATATCAGCAAAGCCATCATCCACATACATTCCAGAGCATAAGACAAAAGACAATTTCTTCCAGGTTCAAACATCACACTAGTTCCAGGTTTCATCACACAAGTGAAAACATACAAACAGATGCAAATAAGTTGCACATGGTTTCCGACAACATAGTGCACAAAGTCGTTCCAACAAACACAAAGAAAGTTTGGTGTTCTCGCAATGTAGCAAAAGATTAGGCAAAGGCATCATTAGCTGAGACATCGTGCAGACCTACCTCAATCTTTCTGAAGATTCAGCACAGCTCACAGCAGTGCATTAGTCTCTTCAAACTTGGTATGCATCCCCCTCACTTCTTCTTGGGTCTGGCGCAACAAATTTTGGTTTTCTTCAAGTGCTGCTGGGTTTGCTTCAAGTGAGGCCTGTTGAGCAAGAATCTGTGCTTCCAACTGTTCCTGCTTCAGATGAAGGAAAATATAGGCACTTTTATTAAATGTGAATCCTATTAGATGTGGACATAGCTGTTACTCAACCAAATTTAAAATCACTAAGTATTATAGAGCAACAAACTAAATCATCTATTACTTATAAACTGGTGGAAAACAATGTCATTGTCCAAATTTAAAATGGCTAAGTATTATAGAGCAACAAACCCAATCATCTATTACTTATCATGTATAGGTTCAGTTAGAGAATAGTTAATAGCAGCCAATGCACATAAGCAGTTAACTTAGATAACTCGGAGTTCAGAGAAATAAGCAAGTCCAGGTTCAATGCAGTAAGGATAGGTTTCATAAAAAAGCTTGTACTGTAACCATAAAGCTGCAACAGGGAAGGGGATATGATTCATAGTCTACCTCTTTTTCTTCATAGGCTTGATTTTAATGATGCCCCCAAAGAAACTTTCCTAACAACTTATTAGTCATCCTGCTCAATGATAAAAGAGATATGACAAGCATGAGGACTTATTGCAAGTACTAAACTGACAGGAAGTTTACTCCATGAGAACTTTGTAAGTTTACTGACAAGAAAATTAGGACCATTTTTAGGTAGTAAATTGACTTGTCTCATTCTCTAGTCAAGCAGGCAAGATTCTTGCTGCTATGTTGACAGGTATAACTCAAACAATCTAGTCAAAGGTGATTTTCTAACAGCAAAGAAGCACACCAGATTCAAACCTTAGAACTTACCCAGGCCATTGGCTGAGAGCAAGCACAGCTTAATATTTATTTATAGGACCTATTCACAGGCTACAAAAATTACAGGAGGTGCCTAACACTTAAACTAACATGCTTTAAAAAATTTAGGTTGAACATAATTACTATGTGTTCACTAAAAATGGCACAATAATTATACAAGCATATTTATTTATCTATGGCAGACCTAGAAATAATAACAAAAAATAAATTAATTTACACGAACACATAGTACACATTATCAGGAGTCTAATAAAATTGGTTTCACAAATTTTGGACTACTACAAAATTTTCTACCGAATTTACAAGATCTAGTTAGTTTGGTCACGTTTAGAGAAAGGCAGAAAGCTACACATATCACGCTGGGAACCACGAGCTTCTCTCAAAATCTCATTAGTCCTTTTACTATTCATGTCTCTCATACAGATTCACACATAGCCCTTTTACTACTACTTCTGATGGAAGTGGTCCTGCACATTCATTCATGGAACATTCCCCAACAAGCAAGGCAGCAGGATTCAGATCCAGATTCAGACTAGGTCGCTCAATCCATCTTCCATCGGGCGTAACACTTGCCGTGCCCTCTTTCTTACCATCTAAAGAAAGCCTGACGCAATCACCACCTAAGGGCATCTAGCTATACAAGCTACATCAAGCAAAAGGGACGACAGTTCTTTTTTCCCAAATTTCCGAGTGGATTCTGCAGCCACACTAAAATGCGTGTCCCTTACCACGAAAATCACCCCAGATCTACGAGATCCTAGCGTCGTTCCAGTCAGAGGCATTCGCTGTACAAGCAGTACCAAAAGCGCAAGCAATCGAGCTAGCAGAGGAGAGCAGCAGTGGGTTACGTACTGTTGAGCTCCTGGAGCCAGCGGCCGACGTTGTTGAAGGTGGAGCGTCGGGAGATGTCGTAGACGAGGAGCGCCCCGAAGGCACCGCGGTAGTAGGCAGAGGTGACGGCGCGGAAGCGCTCCTGACCGGCGGTGTCCCAGATCTGAGCCTTGACCTCCTTGCCGTCGATGTCCATGCTCTGCGTCTGGAACTCCACCCCGATGGTGGCCTTGGAGTGGAGGTTGAACTCGTTGCGCGCGTACCGGGACAGCAGGTTGCTCTTCCCCACCGCGCCACCGCTGCTGCAGACGCGGGCGACGGGCTTCGGCTCTAGGAGGCGCCAGGGCGGCCTACATTCGCCCATCAGGAGCCTGGGAGTGGCGGCGTTCGTGGGGGAGCGGCGGGTGCTGGGGCGGCCAAGTGGGCTGGGAGGACATGATTGGGGCGATTGAGGGATTTGGGGGGCTTCACAGGATATTTATTGCAGCGACTATTTGTCCAATTTACCCCCTTGCTGGATGGCTAAATGGCCAACTATACATGGATAGAAAAGTCATTTCAGCTGAAATTTTTGCGAGATTGAAAAAACTCGTCAAACCAAAAAGTAGCCGCTAAATGAATTCAAATAAAAAAGTCATCAATAACAAAGTTATATAACTCATCGATATTTACAATTTTTGTTTTGGTCATTTCTCCATTCGATTTTTTTAAATAATTCAAAATTTAAATTTCAAAATATGAAAAATTCAAATAGATTTTTGGGGCAATAAATGATTTCAAATGGAAAAAATGTCAACAACAAAGTTGGATAACGCATCAAGATCTAGCACTTTTGTTTTGGTCATTTTTTCATATGATTTTGTTTGGACAGTTCGAATTTTGAATTTCAAAATATTAGAAGTTCGAACATAATTTTTGAGTACTAAGTGATCTCAAATGAAAAAGTCATGAGCATAAAAGTTGTAGAACTGATCAATATCTATAACTTTTATTTTGGTCATTTGTTCATCCGACAAATAGTAACATTTGTAAAATTAGTGAACAATATTACAATCACTTTGTCGGATGAACAAATGACCAAAATAAAAGTTATAGATATTGATGAGTTGTACAACTTTTATGTTCATGACTTTTTCAGCTGAAATTATTTACTACTTCAAAATGTTATTTGAAGTTGTCATTTTTTGAAATTTAAATTTTGAATTGATAGAACAAAGTCACATAAAAAAGTAACAAAAATAATAGCTGCAAGAACATAATAAATTGATACAGAGATTTTAGAAAATTTTAGGAAAAGAAATCATCAAATTTGAAGTTAGTATGAGGGAGAAAGACTAGTTACAAGTTTTAGCCGGAGATAAAAAAGAAAAACTGCACTTGTTCATATGATTTATGAGAACTTCATTATATAAGAACTTCAAATAGAATTTTAGTAGAGTAAATGATTTCAAATGAAAAAGTTCTAAACAACAAAGTTGTAGAACTCCACGAGACCTACAATTTTGGTCCTAGTCATTTCTTCATCCTAATTCGTTTGGGTAATTTTAAATTTGAGTTTCAAAATTTGATAAATTCGAATAGTAAAATGATTTCAAATGAAAAAGTGAGCAACAACAAAGTTGTACAACTCATCGAGATCTACAACTTTAGTGTTGGTAATTTCTTCATCTAAATTTGTTTGAACAATTTAAAGCTCTTGAATTTGAACTCAAAATGGATTTACAAATTAAAAAGAAAAAAGAAAGGAAAAAGAAAAAACGTCTCTCGGCCCTACTCTTTCAGGCTCGGCCAGTCTCCCTCCACACGCGCCCCCGCTTCATTTTCACCTAGGACAAGGCCCAACTCCAAGCCCAATGGACATGGGTCAAGGGTTCCAGCTCCTACTATATTGACGTTGGGGCTATCATATTCACTACTACACAATATTTAATGAAGGCGGGCAAAAGGGCTTAACCGAGACGGACAAGCCAACCTCCTCGGTTGAAAGTTAATGGTTAATTATGGCCTTAACGGAGGTGTTTGGCCGCCTACCTAGGTTAATCAAATAAAAAAACAAAAAATAAGAAAGCCCATGGACAAGCCCAGTGAGCCCATCCACGGGGCCACCGAGCCTGTCCACGCGCCGCCGCCGCCGTAGCTCGCTGGATCCGCAGTCAGGGAGCTGATGGCGGAGTTGGAGTGCCATTGCGGGGAGGAGAAGGAGCGCTGCCACGGGGAGGCCCACGCCATCGCCAGAGTTCATGTAGAGGTGGAGGGGGAGGAGTGCCACCGTGGGGAGGCGAGATCCAGCCTCCACGCCACCGGATCCGGCCTCCACGCTGCCGCCAGAGTTGAAGGGGGAGGGTGTGGTAGAACCGCCCAAAATAACACACTTACGGAGGCACTCGTCTTCCACCAGACACTAATTAGCACCCCGAAAGTAAGCTACAGCGGGCGGTATCCGTCGGGCACACCTTAAGGGAGAACCTAAAAGATCCACATTTTTCCCCTAGGATCCAATAATAAGAATGAGTTACAATACTTAATCCATTTCATACATTCAGAGTGCATACAAAATACATTATTACATTTCCAAAGTCAGAGTGCGGAATATTAAACAGCGGAATAAAAATAAACATCTAGCGATAAAGGACAAGGATCCATCTGTGCCCACCAGAAGAATCCTTCACACAATGGTACTCCTCAAGCATTACCTGCAACAGAGGTAAATAAACCTGGAGTACACAATGTACTCGCAAGACTTATCCGTTTGGGCATAGCAACTACTCAACCTATACTAGTATGACTCATAGGTAGATATATTTATACATGTAGTTTCCATAAAATGCCTATAACGTAAATGCACATCATATATATTCAGTGATCATTAAAAATACAGGTTATGCACCGGGGCTTGCCTTGGGCAGGCGGTGGGTCAACAAAGTCAGCACCAAAAGGCTCTGGGGCTCCCTCCTGCATGAGGATCTCCTCCTCGTACTCCTCAATGACCTCTTTGTAATCCTGTTCGTCCACGGGCACGAACTCTACCAAATCGTGATCTACATGCATGAAATGATGATGCAACATTTAGTAATACGACAACAGCACCTCTTAAAATAAAATACATCTATCAAGCTACTAAGTGAGTTCTACTGACTAAGGCGCTATGTTACCTACTATTAACACAAACAAGTATGAAGCATGGCATATATTATCTTAGCAACAAGAGATATTCTTACTCTTAATACCGGTTTACTCTATATATGATAAAACAATGGGTACTAACTACTCTATTTATCAACCTACTCTAGAGCTATAAAAATTACAGTGAGTACATAATAATCTAATGGTCTTACTGTAAAAATTTCATGGCTAAAGCTACCATCGATTTGCCACAAAAATTCCTACAATTATTAAGCAACATAATACTAAGCTTTCTAAATTGAATTTATGAACCTATCATTATCACAACTAACTATAAACTAACTATACTAACAGATAGATAGCATTTTTCTGAACCTAACAAATTTTATTTCACTATTTTTGTACATCTATAAGATTTACTACAATTTATCAAAGTTTAGCTCAAAACTAAATTGAATAAGCCTTTACTAATTCACTGGAAAATGAAAAATTGATTACCACCGTGTGGTCCAACGCGAGCGGCCTAGCCCAGTTCAGCGCAATGCCCATGCGCGCGATGCACGGCGCGGCCCACGTAGGGGCTCGGCCCAACCAGGTGACGACGGCCCACGACGGGGAGGCCCGCGCGTGCCAGTCATCTTATGAAAACACCCTCGACCTTTTCGGTAATAACATGAGTACTAAGAGCACTATTCCATCAGTCTATGATTACACAAAACAGTCCCTGGGATAACCTACCTTCACAACTGTGATACCCCCGGTCACCAACACGTGAACCGGCGCGGTGGCGCTGGCACCGGGCGGTTACGCCAGCCACACCAGCCCTTCCCCGCCTTAACTACAGAGCCGATACCTGCCTAGGAGTGAACGCGAAGCACTGGGCGAAGGAAGCACGAGCTGGGACGCCGCAGCAAGGCCGGACCACAGTGGCGGAGATCCTGCAACCACGGCGGTGGCGTTTCGGTGAGTTACAACAATGCTGGAGAAATTGGGGTAGCTAGTGAGCTCAAGGAACTCACCACGGAACCAATCGAGGTGGTGGTTCGACTAGAGACGGCCCAAGTTGAGCTGGCCATGTGCGCACAGATGGTGCGGTGGCGCACGGCGGTGGCAAGGCTACGTCAGGGGAGGCTAGGCAGCGGTAGCGATTTGGCTATGGTGCGCAGGGTGATTAGCTGGTGGAGGTGAAGCTAGAGGTGCAAGGAATTCACACGAGCTGCACTGGATAGGGAGCTTGCCTTCAACGCAGACCGACACGGTCTTATTGACCCGATGGAACGGCAGCTCCAAATTGGAGCATGGCTTGGTGAGGCTTGCTGCAAGGTGGGGTCGGGTGGATGGCTGGCTACTCAGCGGAGACGAGGACGGGGTCAATTGGATTGAGGTGGCTCCACTAGGCCGAATGGAGAGGTGCAAGACCGGCAACAAAGGCGGCAGAGGAACAGGGGACGGTCGGCATGGCTTGGCATGGTGTTGCCGTGGTGCGACGCGGCTGTCAATCGGTGCACAAACACGTACGGCTATGGGGCGATGGGGAAATGGCCAACGTGCACAGGACGGTGGGCCGCACGGCCATAAACCGCAAGCCGACGATGGTGGCTCAGCCCTGCACCGTAGTGGCATGGCGCCAATCAGTGCAGAGTCGCATCGAGCACGATGTGATGCTAAGGGCTAGCGGCAAGTCCATGCGTGGCAAGGTGACGTGTGGGCAGAGCCAAGCGTGGCCACGAGCGCACGGTACAGCCAGGCGAGCGCGAGGCGGTAGCACAGCCAGGTGGACACAACAACGGTGGCAGAGCGCAGGCAGGCAACCTCGCACAAGCCGCCACGACCAATAGTAGCGGGGTGTCGCGACGCGTGGAGTCAGTGACATGGTGAAGCGGTGGCAGTGGGCTAGCCAATGTAGCAGGCCCGTGGCAACAGCAGCGGTGGCTGAGCGGCCAGGTTGCCGGGAGCGGCATGCGCGTGCATGTGCGTGCGTGCGTGGCAACAGCGGTGCGGGTGCGCGCGAGCGCGTGCATGAGCGCGGCAGTGGAGCGCGAAGCCCGCCCGGTAGCGCGCGTGTGCCCGCCAGGGGCAGGCCAGTGCCGTGCGCCAAGCTGAACCGTAGCCAGTGACCTATCTAGACGCTGACACCGGCCGGAATGTGCCATGCATGATTTTTAAAGCTGCTCAAAAATCCAACTCGGTGATCCAATCACTAAACCATCTATTTAACGCTCGAGCTGGTATATCAGGCTA